GCCTGCAGGTGCCGCAGCTTCAGCAGGCGAGACTCGTAGTGCTGCAGCTCCACCTGACGGACAGATAGACATCGCTAGAAGAATCGATAAAATGTGTTAAAACAAGGAATGTTATTGTCTGTTCCATTTTTGACTTTTCGATCAACGATATCACTAATACAAAGTTAAATTGCCTAGGGCTGATAGCCCAAATAATATAATAAAGAACATTGATTTTAGTTCAATACGCACTTTTATATAAACACAACATTGAACGAAAAACATAATTATGTTTATAAAAAAAAATTCTTTACTTTGCTATTATTCTTAACCAAAAGTATGTGTTGCATTATTAATACAACAATGTTTCAATGAAATTGTTACAAATATGTTGAAAACCACAGTGGAATCCTACACTTAGTTAATATTAAATTATAAATTACCTTTATAGAGGCGAGCTCGTCGACCGTGAAGTTAGCGGCGGCGGCCATTCGCCACAAGCCTTGCACCTTCGGCTCCACGAACTCCTTGTTGTTGGGACCTGAAAATATAATTTCGAATTTTAAACAATTATTATGATGTATTAATTCACTATCTTGTCTGACACTGAAATGAAAATATCAATAACTTCACAATAACACAAGTCACTGACCTCTATTAATGGACAGGCTATAAAAATTTACATTTTTGGATTTTGGTACCTTGGCGCTATGGCCGCGGTTAAAGGTAGTAGTAAGTATTGAAACTAATAAAAAAAATAACTATCATTAGCATCAACAGTCGTGTTTAAGTCAGAACGACATAAAACTTCTATCCATTTAAAAAGATCAGTGTGTTTTAGTGCATTATGTTTTGAAGATGATGTTTTTTTAATACAAGAAGTCAACTGACCTCTGGCGGAAATGCGCTGGAGACGGTCATATCCATCTCGCAGGCCGCGGTGCTTATCTCTTAACAAGTTGGCCTTGTCCACAAAGTCCTTGTTCAATACCTCATTTGTTTCCAAGTTCACTTCATTGAAGTTTACCATTTCTTCATCATTAATGGCATCTAGAATAAAACTTAACAATTATAATAAAAACTAGCTTTCGCCCGCGACTCCGTCTGCGTGGAATTAAAAAACAAGAAACAAAAATAAGTAGCCTATGTGTTGTATACCAAATTACATTGAGATCCATTCAGTCGTTTCGGCTACAAACTCTAACAAACATCCTTCCATCCATCTCATTTTTCTCATTTATAATATTAGTAAGATAAATAACACTTAAGTGTTGCTGTGGTTGCATATATGAATTATTAATTAATCACTAATAACAACCTTCGTGCTTAACAGACTCTGAGAGTTTAAGCAAGCCATGTGCTAATACTAACAAAAGTGGCAAAGCATTATTAAACAGTAAAATAATATTAAAATTTGCATACTTTTAAATCCTTCATGTCCTTCAGTCTCCACATTGCCGAGCAAATCATAGTACTGGTCGATCTTCTCCTGGTGGTGTGTGAACTCCTCGCGCAGCGCCGCCAGCTCCTCCGGAGTAAACCCTGATGCCTCCGCCTTCGACCACAGCATATTCAACTTCTTGTCTTTGAATAAACTCCGGTTAATGTATTCATCCATTGCTGAATTATGCTCCTGTAATAATATTAAGAAAATTATCACATTTGTACATATATTTTAGATAACAATAGCTGTAAAAAAAATATAATATAGTAAACAATAATATAGCCAATGTCCTTCAGTAATTACATAGCTATTTATTGGTAGAAAAAAAATTTCATATAGACCCAATAGTTTTTGAGTTATTGCTAAACATACAAAAATACAAACCTTTCCTCTTAATTATATTAGTATACTAACTTTGCCCGCGATTCCATCCGCGTGGAATATAAAAAAAACAAAAGTAAGTAACCTATGTATTCTTTCAGACTATCCTCTACATGTATGCCAAATTTCATTGAGATCCATTCAGCCTTTAGGCTACAAACTCTAACAAACATCCATCCATCTAAACTTTTGCATTTATAATATTAGTATGAAGTATGATATACTGGATTCCTGAATTAAAAAATAGCACATGTGTTATTCCTGAATGTAAAATATCTGTTTCAAATTTTATAAGTCCATTCATCTTTAAATAAGAAATACAGACCAACCTAGCAGTCATTATCTGTCACTGTACAGTTTTACTTACAATAGGAATATAAAATAATCTGGATTTTCATGATCTAGTCACTAGGACCAAAATAAAATGCTGCAAGTGGTTATGAATTGGCCATACTCTTCACCGGGATCCCAGCCCCATTCTCAGGGAAACCCTGGAGTATATCCCACAAGGAACATGAAAGCGTGGCCGCCCTTAACAAACCTGGCGGCATTCAGTAGCGGCCGACTTGAAGGGAATCGGGCTGTCATAGTCCGAGACACAATGCAGAGTCCAGAACAGAGCCAGCTGGGGGCGCACTGTCTGCGCCCTCTGCCCCACTTTGAGGACATAGGAATAGAAGAGAGAGAGAGTCTCTAGGACCTACTTACATTGTAAAAACAAGGACCTAGGTAGTGTTAGCTTTATAAAGTTTTTACAATGATACAAGGAAAAATGAGTCATTAAAAATTAATTATTTGGACTTATCATGAAGAAACATAATGGAGATAAAGTTCTAATGTCAATGAATAGGTCAGTGACTGTTTATGAAATCATGACCGTAATTTAAAAATATGTTCATTTGAAACTGTTGCCATGTCGAGATATTTTATGAGTAAATTATAGCTTGTGTGATATGATGATGTCATATAGAATATTAAAAACATAAACTGCTATGACATCGTCTTGTAAATTCACTTTAATACAAAATGTAAGTGGCAGGGTATGTGTGTATTTATTTTAAGATAATCTTCAAGTATTGACTCTATTTAGTTAATAAAAAAAGGGTTGGTACATAAGCTGTCTATTAGCAAGATAAGGACAGAGTGATGATGATAGTAACTTACTGGGTCCATTTTCTGTCTTCCGATATGCTTGTCATCGAAATGCTCTCTCAATCCATACACATTCATGATATTGGTGAGCTTGCGACGTATCTCTGCCTCCTTTAATCCTTCCTTGTCACCACCCTCACTCTTAACTCTCTTGTATGTGATCTCCTCTTTATCTTGAATCATTAAATCACTGTACAGTGATTTTAGTTTTGGCTCAGTTAGACGCTGAAATTAAAATTATTACTTTTTATTTAACACCCAAAACTAGGTGGAAAAATTAAATTATATATGCCAACTCCACCAAATGGGTTATGAGTCAGAAACAGAGGGTTTTTTTTAATTTAACAGTAGAGGCAAACAAGCAATGGGAACACCAAGATGATCATCATCGTCCATGGACATCCTAAAAGTCAGACAAGTATTGAATCAATTTTTTAATAAAAAATCATTTTCTTTCCCCAGCTTTGATTCAATTTATGCATATACTTTTAAATTCTAGGAAAAAATTTAATAATTACCAATTGAGCTTTTGTCCATAAAATGTTCAGTTTATTCATTCTAAATGGCTTCTGTAAAGTCCTAAAGTCCACATCACTTTTCTTTTTCTCATTAGCCGACTTGC